AATGAAGACAGGACGCTTCCTTCAACAAACAGCAGTTTTATTCCTGTGCTGGTGAGAAGGTGCATAAGATATCATATGGATTTTCTGACCACGGTTATAAGTATGAAATATATTAAGCAAATACATAATTTAAATAGAAAGACCAATGAAGTTCTTTGTTCAAATAGAGTTGGTTAGAAAACAATATTGTGGGGAGGTGTATAGTATGAAAAAATAGAATCATCTACTGCCATTTTAAATAACCAGATTTGCAGAGAAAGAAGACATGATATTAAAATCATAAAAGTGCTCTATTATAGAACATAATAAGTTCAGCTGCTGGATTTCTTTACATTATTTATTTAAGCTTCACCTTAACCAAGGAACAGCCAGATGACCCTCCATGGACAATGGAGGTGTTAGACTCTGACCACCTAACATCCAAAGTATTGGGTCAGATGCATTTCCACTCAAAAAGTGTACATTGAATGCCTATGAGCACTACTTTCTACAACATAGGAGTAGAGAATAAACTCATAAAGACTTGGTCGTTGTCCTTGCAGAATTTATACGCCTAATGAGTCCCGCGTGGAAGACCAGCGATCAAGGACTCCTCAGGTTGAGAACATTGGCGCACCCGGCTGTCAGCATGGCTGAGGCTGGGAAATCTCACAAAGGCCACTTCGGACTCTCCCACCAGCTGCAGATGGGACACACTCCAACTCTGCTCCAGACTCCTAAAGCCACAGCTGTCGGTGCTCCTTTCTTGTTGGGACGCGTGTCTACTTACTCAGCTGTTAAAACACAACACTCAAAGGTAACGGAAAGCTTGCTCTTAGGATGAAGACAGTATTACTTCAAAGAAATTACTTAAGGCAAAAAACAGCCGTAATTAACCTTTCTTGTGAATGTTCTAGAAGGGATACATTACATTTGTCTGATATTATTCACAGTTTGAACAACTTATTTCAGTATCTTATATAAGATCAAATACATTGGCATATAGGTTATAAAAATAATCTTTGGTAAATCTGTTAATAGATCTCTTTTATTTCCATTACATAAACCTCTATTTTAGGAGCATTCACCAACAATTTCCTTATTTCGTGAATGTATCTATATAGACAATCTTTTAAAAAATAAAATGTCTTATTTTTGTTGCCTGCATTTATTCCTAGGGAGCCTCCCTACAAGTCAAGAGTATTCTTTAGGCAGAAATATTTCCATTGCTAGAAACATTTTTAGAACAGAACAGATTTTTGCTATTATCATGGCTGCATCAAATGTTACCCTGCATTTTAACTAAAACGGCCAAACATTTCCAAAGGCATCATCTACAGGAGAATCTACTGGAGAATCTACAGTAGTGTGTTTGGAATTCCAAACTCAGTCAATTGAGTCAAACAGCTGGTCAGTCTCAAAACTAAATGAGTCAATTCAGCTGCTTAGTCAGCTGAGTCATCTGGCTGTCGTAGTTGAAGTGGACCCCAAAGGATGGTACGTCCTGAGACAAACACGACATTTTCAAAGAACAGTCTGGACACACAGGAGGGATGCTGTTTGCTCTTCCCAATGACGTCTGGTTAGATCCGCTTTTCAAATATTTTCCCTTCTTTGCATCATTTCACTTGCTTTCTGCAGCCATGGTTTACAGATTTTCCTTCCAGGTGAAACATCCTTTGAACACTTGATGAGATTTGAAATCTCAGGTTAAAAATACGCAGAAACTTCACAGGTCACGTGGGCTGATCATGGCTGTTTCCACCCTAACTCTTCAGGGTGAGGGAGGGTTGAGGGCTTGCTCACAGCCACCGAGGGGAGGCTCAGCCATTCCTTCCTGCCACTCTGTCTTGACTCATCACTTACTTTCATTTCCTTGGTGAAATGGAGCCCAGAAAGTCCTTGCACTGCCACCTCAGACAAGCAGCTGATTACCTCTTGTTTCCACCAGGCCCACGTGTGTGAACGAAAGCTCTCGGGCACCCCGGAGTTGGGGCTCAGAGGCTACCTCGATCTATCTTGCAGATCTGGCGGGTTGATGACTTCAGGATCCCAACATCAAAGACCCAAAAAAGCTAGGTAAATGGGAATTTAGTATATGGCCGGTGATTTTCTTGCAAAAGGTAAAGAGAGTGTTTAATATAACAGCTGGATCCTGAGACTAAGGAAGAGAATCAGAGTGAGAAGTACAACATGGGAGTCTATTTTTGTTTTCTGGACATCTGCTTAGTGGTTTCATGTTATTTTCACATGTCATTTTGGGCTTTGATCCAAGAGGTAATAGCAAAATTAATTAAAGACCTTCCCAAATAAAACTGTCCCCATAATGTCTGTGTGCTGTGCCGTTTTAGTATTTAAAAGGAAATCATGGTCATTTCTCCTATAACGTGGAGCCTGAAGACTATGTGATACCAATGGGAATAAGGAGATGAGATGACCGGAAAGTAAAATCACGTTTGACTGGGAAAACAAACGTATTCAAAAGGGAGAAGGGGACAAGCAGCGAGAAAGAGAGACTCAGAAGTGTTAAGAGACAGTGGATGACTTAGGTCAAATACATGCAGGCCGGACAGGGAGACCAGCCTTTGAAAAATCTGACTCAGGAGCTGAAAAATTGGCTGGTGTCCAGAGAACAGAATGATAACATGAAATTGATTTAATGGGTAGAGATTAAAGGAGGTAATTATAAAGAACTTGGATAAATAATTATTAAGATGCAAGACAGGACTCTCGCAAGATTTGATAGCTCAAAAGCATTTTGAAGACTCGGTGATTAAAGCGTATGGCACAGTGGACAGACAGGATGCCCACCTTGATGGGAGACGGAGTGTTTACCAAGACATCAGGCATGATGGAATTAAATTAAAATACATCCAATTGAGGTGAATGTCAAGGAAACCTTTTCTTTTTCCTTCCTAAATTTAATAAATAGATAAACTAGATTATGTATTTAGTCTTTGGCAGTGGCGGGAGGGAAGATACTGAAATATTTGTTGCTAAGGAGATTTAAAATTAGACAGGTTGAGGGTAGGAATAAGTATTTCCTGGATTAGACGAAAAGGACATAACAACAGTTTTCCCTTGTCGAGTCCATTTCCGTAACTCTGATAGCACCCCAGGTACGTCAGGGTATGTGAGCGCTATTTACTCTTATAGGTTGTAGGTTTTTTATGGTTTTAATTTGTGGTTTGTGCGATTAATTGCTCTCTTATAGATCAGTGGTTTGTACTGAAGCAGCATCGTTGGAAGGCTGCACTGCCCTGGGCCGCTCTGTTATTTCACTGCCCGCTGAGGCCCTCTTTCAAGCTTAACTGAAAATAGTAACAACCTTCGCTTAGTATTGTGATGCATTCTCTTGATTGAGTAAAAAGGTGGAGTTTCCAGGACAGGGCCTGGCAGGTTGCAGGTGTTACTAAAACTTTTCTGAATGAATGAATGAAAAGCCAAAAGTGAATTTCTCTTTCTGTGGATTAATGTGCTTTGTGCTGAGCAGCATTAGTTTGCAATTCTGTTTGGTTTTCCTCTTGCTTTTTCTTTCTAATGCAGGAAAGTTCTTCCTAGTGGACACCACATCTCCTCAGTCTCTGACCTCTCTTTTCTCCCTGGGGGCATGTCTGCCACCCTTACAGATGTGTTGTTCCTTTCCAAATCTGGAAGACCCACCTCGTTCCCTGAGACAGGATCCGAGCCCGACAGTCGTTTCACAGGGGCGTTGAGCACCATAAACCTGGGACACCCAGGATTCCTTTTATCACTCTCCACAGTCATTCCTACAAAGTCCTTCTGTTTTTATAAACTTCAAATAGCTCTGGAAATTTTTCCGGTTTGGGTGGAGACTTACACAACTATAATGAACTACTTTAGATATATTTAACGCTTTTCAATTACTATGCCAATTACACTCACTATATTACTTATGAGACTTTATGTATGCAGCAGAAATATATACTTTGAAAAGAAATGTACTCTATCTGCAAATGAAGCTGTGAGATCAGCAAGCTTGATCTCTAATTCTTAAGTTTATCACAGAGAAATTTGTAGTGAGAAGAAGGCAAACATGCCTGGCTCATTTCTCAGGTGGCCATGAGGGTTCTGTACAGACGCCTTTCAGATGTTCCCCAGGAAGACTTCGAGCCAGACCTGGAGGAGGGCAGTGACCACGTTCCGACTCTGAAATCTGTTGTAGTCAAAACAGCACAGAGACTGGACATAAACCTGGTAGGACGTGGTGACTTTTCTACTAAATGCAGCTTAAGGGACTACTTGATATTTGACCTCGATGATTTACTAAAAAAGTTTTTTGGAGAATTTTATACTAAGCACCTCTGAGTTTTCGTCTTCATTGTTTGGTTTTTCAATGAACTAGATATGATGTTTGTAGATGTTTCTGTGACGATGTTGACATTTGGTCCTCTGATCAGGAGTTTAATCTGCCACCACCATCTTTTTTTCATGGGAAAACCAAGTACGATTGGCCTAATTTCGACTTTTCTGGGAACGCAGCCCACAAGCAATCAGACAGAGGCGAGTGTGTGCACCTTGACCGGCACTGTCACTGTGGCAGGGCAGGCAAGTTCACACGACACACTCCGAAGGCAGCGAAACATCTCGTCACTGTGGGTGGGGCTCTGCATGTGGACGATGCTTCCAGTCAGGGTCCAGGCCGCTCCCCTCTTGAGACAAGGAGTTCATCACTCGGGTTTGGACCCTTCTCCATCAGAACCTCAACCCTGCAGCCAGGACTCCACAGCAGGTTACATGGCCCCGAGCTGACCAGGGCGGCTCGAGCCTCTGGCAGCAGAAAGGGGAGAGACTAACTGGTTGAGGCACAACCACCTTCTTCAGCTCTGGGGCTGCTTACCCGCTTCCCCTCAGTCCTTTTTTGACTGTTATATTTGCCCAGTAGCATCTGGGTCAGCTTTGGATGCCAGGATCCGCAGGGCAGCAGGGCAGCACGGCCGGCTGTCCCAAGTGCCTTCCGCCTGGCCCTTCCTCCTGCCCAATAAGTTTCACGACAGGTACAAACCGTGGCCCCAGGGGCCCTCTGCAGCTACCTCCACACACGTCACCAGCACTCCCGTCACACAGGCCAGCCAGTTTATGCTGAACAGCCCATGAACACGTCAGTGTGGAAAAATAGCATCATATAAAGATTAACATCAAACATTGTGAAAAATACATATTTACAGAAGAAACTACAAAATACAACTATGTACAATAATCTCTGTTACCTTTAAATTACATAAATTCTTTGGCATTCTCCAGATTAATAAATTATACATAGTATCAACAGAAATAGCTGGCACCTCTGTAGGGCATGAAGCAAGTCTGTAAGAAAGTCACACAGTGAATAGTTTTTATCCAGGAGATCTTCAGACACATTCTCAATGCCTTGAGTAGCCCGCGTCTGGAAGGAAGGACACGGTGATTAGAGATTGTAGCAGGATGTGTCACAGTTGTTTGTTCTGTTTATGAAAATCACAAATGGAAAAGACTAGCAGAAACGACCAAAGCTCAATGTGGTTCAGGATGAGGCCGTCCCTGTGGGGCCAGGTCATTCCGTCAGAACCACAGATTATGAGAACTGGAAGGGACTAGGGATTCTGTCCATCCCCCTGGTTTTACAGATGAGCCCACAGGCCCAGAGAGGCAGAGTAACTCACTCAGGGTCACACAGCTGGATAATGCTAGTTAGTTCCAGAGCCAGGACCTGAATCCTAACTTTCAGATGCTTGAAGCTAACCACACCACAGTTAGCTTCTTTCAGGAACACCAAGATTACTCTAAAAAGAGACTCTCAAACATTTCAAAACAAGACAAAGGAAACTCCAAGATCCCCCAGAACCCCCTCCTTCTTAGAGCTTCTTAAAGAATCTGACATGCGGAGGCGGAGTCAAGATGGCGGCGTAGGCAGACTCTGAACTCACCTCCTCCCGTGGACACAGCCAATTTACAACTACTCGTGGAAAAATTACCCCTGAGACAGAAC